TTAGTGTTGTTATCTGTAACATTGACAAAGACACTATATATACCTAAATTCAATGATTCTAGAGAACATAAATCCAAAAATTAAAAAAAATCAGTAAAGAAAGTATTAAAGTCGGACGGGCCCGACTTTATGATACCCTACACCACTTTGCTAATTTAGTAGAACTCCACATAACAATCAAAAGTTTTTATGGGAGAATTCAATCATACACGCTATGATTATAATTATAATTTAAAGTTCAAAGGACTAAATGTGCCGAAGCATCTTTTAAATTCGGAGTTGTATTGTCCGTTTGGTGCACAATTAATTTGAAATCGGATAAAGATATATATAGGAGCTATATCCAAATCGGAACCTCGGATCTCGATAAAATTTGGCAAAGATATTTCTGAGCTGTATTTGATATATTTCCCAGAATATCGTTGTTACGGAGTGCATATTACGGCTGTGGGTAACAAATATAACAAATCGGATGAACAAATATAACAAATCGGATGGGAGCTATAGCTATATCTGAACCGATCTTATCGAAATTTGACATACTAGCTTCTAGACTTAATTCGTAAGTGCCAAATTCGATCCCATTTAGACAAATATTCGACGTTTGGTGTACAATAAAAGGTAAATCGGACGAAGTTATGTATGGGAGCTATAGCTATATCTGAACCGATTGGCATACTTATTTTCAGGCCAAATTTGGTTGTATGTGCAAAAATTCGGGCGATATTACACGTTTGGTGCACAATAAAAGGCAAATCGGACGAAGATATATATGGCAGCTATATCTAAACTTTGACCGATTATCTCCAATTTCAATAGGGTTCGTCCTTGGGCCAAACAAATACTTTGTGCAAAATTTCATCTGGATAGTGCAATAAATGCGAACTGTACTTTGTTTACAAAATGTGATTCTATGCAGATCATCAAAAGGAACTATGGATCTATCTCGTTTCCTTTTGCCTGTTACAAACAAATGCACAAAGACATAATACCCTGACCACCTTGTGGTGTAGGGTATAAACAGTGATGAACTGGGAAATTACCTACTAAGACTACTTTGCAATAAACAACTTTCAAAACGCCATTACACGTGTTTTTTTTTAGATATTTCTTCTATATTTTTTTTTTTTTTGAGTCACACGGTGTTATGAGTTGGTTTGTTCTACACTTTTCTTTACCCACTAAACTATTTATGTTTTATGTCCAAATGTAAATGTTCGACTGGTTACGATGATTTCCTTTCGAAAAATAGTGTTGTAGTCAAAAATGCGATCATAAAATTCAAACAATATCTAAGCCAGCAAAATCCACACACGTTCAACATGTCTATGGGCTGTAAAAAATACAAACATCAAGTGGCATCAAAGGAAATAACAACACCCTTCTAAATATGCTAATATGAGGATACGAAATAAGCCATCTCCTCCAGTGAAATATTTAATACAAGTTAAGATCTCCTCCTCTTCGCGAGATTTTAGTATTGACATAAGAAAACATTTTTTTTATTTGAGCAGCGATAAATATCAAATGATTGGCAAAATATTTCATAAAAATATTTTCACAACGTGCCACCAGCCAACCCAAAAGTCAACAAGTCGGCTATGCGGCTCATTTGCCATACAAAACGGAAAATACTCAAACAATACATATTTATGTATGTACATAGACAATTTATATGTATTTGTACATACAAGGCACATATCGCAGAGAACGATTTAATTAATTCATAAAATAATGAATTAAAAACTTGATGAGAAATTCTACTGATATTTATTGAAATACATGTGGACTCCACATTGTGGAGAGAATCTTCTGAAATGCTCTCCCACAGTGATATACAGTGGTGGCCAACTAATTAGGGACACATTTTTGATTAAATATTTTTTTAATTTTAAAATATGGAAAAAGCGAAAAATTAAGGAACCCATATTATTTGAATTAACTAAATATTCAGATATTTTTCATCAGCTGAAACTAGTTCCTAAGTAAGTCTAGTCTCTGTCTCTGAGATGAAAAACGGCAAACAAAATCAGACTGCTGTCATTTCTGAGCCATTCTTCCGACATCAGTTAGAATTATTCCAGTGACAGCTCATTGTTTACAAGCGTACAAAATCATTTTTGTGAGAATTTTCCAGAAAAAAGTTAGTCGTGATGGAATTCAAGTGTGATAGTGTGATTTCTTTATATTTGGCTGAAAACCACAAGTGGCTATCGTTAGAACACTCCAGCATTTAAATGCGAATAAATCTTTTGTGGCTCGTACCATTGCTCGTTACCGTGATACTGGTAGCGTAGCCCGATGCATGGAAGAAAACAGCAACATCAGCAGAAATGGTTTGAAAAGTAAAAAAGCGACTTGATCGAAACCCGCGTTGCAGTGGCCGAAAAGGCTCGTGAGCTGAACATATCGCAAGATTCCATTCGGCAAATATTGAAAAATGAGCTCGGGGTAAATCCATTGAAATTCCAAAAAGTGCAAGAATTTACACCGCAACGGAAAGAAAATAGACTCAAAAGAGCTAAAGAGTTGCTTCGCTTGGCCGAAAGTGGTGAACTGCCGAAGTTGGTTTTCTACAAAAACTAACAAAATGATCGTGTTTACTTGCCAAATAGGTCAGCTGAAAATGTGCACCAGAACTCAAGCGCCGGCTATGGTGATGGTGTGGGCCGCCATAACATCCGATGTCCGCTCTCCGCTCGACCGTTAATTGAATTGAACATTCCAACAGGACTCAGCACCACCAGAACTCAAGCGCCGGCTATGGTGATGGTGTGGGCCGCCATAACATCCGATGGCCGCTCTCCGCTCGACCGTTAATTGAATTGAACATTCCAACAGGACTCAGCACCATTGCACTCAGCACGCGCCACCCATGAATGGTTACAAAATGAGATTACTCGCTTCATTTCCAGCGCACAATGGCCACCAAAATTTCCGGATACCAATACGTTGGACTATTGTGTCTGGAGTATTTTGGAAAGCAGGTTGGCACTAAAAAATACCTCATACCTCACCGCAAGCGCTTCGCCGGGAATGGGCGAAAATACCGCAGAGCAACATTCGGGCAGCGTGTGGCGGTTTCATTCGCCGTTGAAGGTCATAATTCGTGCCAATGGTGACCAATTCCAACAAATCTAAACTTATTCTAAAATTAGATGCTATTTCCTGCATTGTTTGCCTTCATTCAATAAAATTTAAATGAAAATGTAAAAATTATGGTGTTTGACTTTGTTGCAGTTTTTTATCTCACCTTGTAGGAATGAGGTATGTAGTTAGTATTGAACTCGCACTCATGTTAACTAAATGGTTCTAAATTTTGTACAATCTAAATTTTAGGAAAACCGGACGGAGTTGGAATCCTGAAATTTGGAAATAAGATTTCTATTTTTACTTATGTGTACTAAATGGTACTAAATTTGGTACAATTTAAATTTAGGTGAACAAATAGAGCTGGTGTCCTCATATCTGAAAATAAGATTACTGTCGGAATGTCGGATTCTGATATTGAGGTAGTATTGAAATTAGATATAGATTTTACTGTTTGTGTCTGTGGTTGAGAAAGAACTGGCTTTATGCGTACCATAATTGCACTAAATTTTGTAATGGGGTGGAATTTGATGTTTGCATCTGAACTGCATTTTGATGCTTGTATCTGAATTTGAAATATGGAGACTGTTTTGTAAATGCGTACTATAATCGTACAAAAAGTACTAAATGGTACTAAATTTGGTATTGGCTAAAAGAATAAGGCTAAAATCCTAAAATTTGATATGGATGTCACCTTTTATGTCTGTGGTTGAGAGAAGAAGCTCGTTTTGGATATTCGTACTATAATTGCACTAAATGATACTAAATTTGGTATTGGCTAAAGGAAAAGAGACGGATCCTGAAAATCGATATTAAGGTCACTCTTGGTATCTGAGGTTAAGGTATGGAGGTGATTTTGGAAATGTGTACTAGAATTGTTCGAAAATTACTATGTGGTCCTAAATTGGGTATTGGGTGAAGGGACAGAGCTGGATTTTAAGAAAAGCACTAAATAGTACTAAATCAGTTATTGGTTGAAGGAATAGAGCTGATATTCTGAAATTTGATGTAGATGTCACTGTTGGTGTCTGTGGTTCAGATATTGATGTGGTTTTGGAAATGGGTACAGTAGTTATTCAAAAATTACTATGTGGTACTAAATTGGGTATTGGGTGAAGGGATAGAGCTAGAGTTCAGAATTTTCATATTGAGGTCTCTGTTGGTATGTGGTGGTGGTTTGATAATTGTTCAAAAAGTTCTAAATGCTACTAATTTTGGATGTCAGTGGTACCTCTTGATTTCGACATTTTTATGGTATCAGCCCCAATTTTTAACAAATCAGGTTTTTGTTACAAAGTCTAAAAAAAATCAACGGAACATTCAAGTTTTTGGGTTTATAGGAGGAGGGTATTAAAAATTCGTCGTATCGTCGTTTTTACTTACTTTATATTTCAGTTATTATTTTCAGTCACTTTGTCATTCATTCATATTCTCTTTGGATAACAAACAAATGACCAGATAATAAATCGTAAATATCCCATTATCAAATATTTCTCTGTACCTCTTCGCGGAATTTCTACTTTCAGGTAACATGTGAAATTCTCATTCTCACGTTTTCAATTAATTTGAATATTATGGTTCATTAATAAATTTTTGATTATGCGTACATAAAAGCCAAAATAAAATCTAGCCTCGTCTTGGCATTTTTTTCAATTTGAGAGACCAAAAACGAAATCCAGCCCAAGGTTGCCAAAACCCATATTCATACCCAACCCGCCATAAAATGGCAAAGAACAGACTTGAAAACAAACAAAATATATTTACATAAAGAATACGGATAAAGGAATACATAAAATGGGAGAAGAAGAAGGCACAAACATAACGCCCCCAAAATGCCAAGAGAATTCCCTCTTGTCTTACTGTCCGGCTATAAAAATGATTGACATGCGACCATTCGCTGACAATCGACACTGGTAGCCGTGATAGCCAACACCGCAGCAATTAACGAACGGCAGGAAACCTAAGCAACCACAGAACACTTCTTCCACAACATGTTTAAGTTTGTAAGTATTTTTCACATTCCAATACGACAACAAAGTGCCATAAATTATGGATTAGCTGGTGGTATTCATGCCGTTCAATATCCCCCAGCCACCGCCACCACCACGCCACCACAAAAACGCTAAACAATTATTTAATATTTGTCTTTCAGATGACCATTTGCTTGTTTGCTCTGCTGGCATTGGCCTCAGCTAAGCCACACTTGTTGACCACTGGTGTCAGCTATGCCACTCCAGTTGTGGCACCCGTTCATGCTGTTGCAGCCCCCGTAGCCTTTGCCACCCCCGTCGTGGCCTCGTCTGCCTATTATCCTGCATACACATCTTCCTACTACCATCCAGCGTATGCCACATATCCACATTTGGGCGCCACCTATTTTGTCAGACGTTAAACGACGAATGAATTGATTATTTCAATATTTAAAAGAAATAATTGCGAATTTTATTTGTTTCTAGCGTTAATTTTTATAACGTATACTATACACTATTTTTTTAAATAAATTTTTACAAATGAAAAATATATATCTTCAATGAAGGATTTTTATTAGAAGCTGGATTGAAGAGCTTAAATAAAATGATGAAAAAATGTAAGCGAATGTCATAAGTCTGAAATATTGGAGAGTCATACCGATTGATAACTAAATTAGAAAAGACAGAATATTTATGTGATATTAAAAACTGAACTCCACAATACAAACATGGTGAGATCAAAAAACTGCAACAAAGTCAAACTCCATTTTTTAATTTCATTAAATTAAAGCAAAAAATTTTGGAAATAGCATCAAATTTTAGAATAAGTTTAGATTTGTTCTAATTGGTCACCTTTGGCACGAATTATGACCTTCAAATGGCCAATGAAACCCTCACACGCTGCCCGAATATTGCTCTGCGGTATTTTGGCCCATTCCCAGCGAAGCGCTTGCTTGAGGTGACCGACCCAACCTTGCTTTCCAAAATACTCCAGAAACAATAGTCCAACGGATTGGTATGTGCGCTGGAAATGAAGCGAGGAAACGAACCTCATTTTGTAACCATTCGTGGGTGGCGCGTGCTGTGTGCGATGGTGCTGAGTCCTGTTGGAATGTCCAAGGTCTGCGACCAAAATGCGTGCCCAAGGCTTTAATACACCATCCAGAATATTTTCGCTATGATATTCGCCATTTATTCTGATGACACGTTCGATCAATACCATCGGAGAGCGACCATCGGTTGGTATGGCGGCCCACACCATCACCATGACCGCCGCTTGAGTTCTGGTGGCCAAACGAAGGTATCGGATTTTTGATGATTTTAGTGACATTATTCACCGGAATTCTTTAAAATTTGGTATTTGATGCTCCTAACGGATGCTGCAACCTAATACAGAAAATTGTCTGTGCAGGTCCACGTCTTCGTATAGCCCCTATAAAACTGTACCTCCCGATATTCACCGATTTTTTTTTAAGTTTCGTATTTGAATATTGTAATGGTTGTAATGGCTTAGTGGTTTAGTTGCCTATGCAGGTAAATGTCGTCGTATAAACCTTATTATAACAGCTACATTCGATATTTTTAAGACTTTAATAAAATTTTTAACGGATTTTATTGTTTTTGAGAATTGTTTAATTCATTCCAAATGGTGGAGGGTATTAAAAGTTCGGCTCGGCCGAACTTACAGCTTTTTCACTTTTTGGAATTTCAATGGCTAATTTTTCGATATTTGCTGAATTGGATATTGCTATACGTTCACCTCACGAACCATTTTCGGCTAATGCGACGAGGGTTTCGATCTTTCTTTACTATTCGAACCATTTCTGCTGATGTTGCTGTTTTCTAACGTCAACTTTCTTGCGGTCGGGCTACGCTACCAGTATCACGGTAACGTGCGATGGTACGAGACACAAAAGATTTATTCACATTTAAATGCTGGAGTGCTCTAACGATAGCCACTTGTGGTTTTCCAGCCAAATTTGAAGAAATCACACTATCACGCTTGAATTTCATCACGTATACCATTTTTCTGGAAAATTCTCCCCAAAATGCTTTTGTACGATTGTAAACAATATAATGAGCTGTCACTGGAATAATTTTAACAGTCTGAAGTTGGTTGCATTTGTTTCATCTCATCCTGCACATAAAATATATACATACAATTAACCTGGCGTTTACAAAAGACAAACTGCCTTAAATAACAGTTGTGTATTACTACCCCACATATACACATATTCAATTCCACAGTGAAATGGTGGGGAAAAAGCACCCCTATGTTCGAAATTTTTGGAGCTTTTCGGCTCAAGATTAACTTAAATGATTAAGATTTCAGGATTCCACCCAAACATATAGTACGCATATCCAAACAACCCATACTAGATACCAACAGTGAGTATAATTTAGTACTTTTTGAACAATTATAGTAGGTATTTGCCAAACCGCCACCAGATACCAACTGAGACCTTAATATCAAAATTCTGGATTCCAGTTCTATCCCTTCATCCTATACCCAATTTAGTGCCACATAGTAATTTTTGAACAATTATGGTACACATTTCCAAAACCACATCCATATCTGACAGACATCTACAGACACCAAGAGTGACATCTATATAAAATTTCAGAATATCAGCTATATTCCTTCACCCAATATCAAATTTAGTACCATTCGAACAATTATGATACACATTTCCAAAACCACTTCCTTCTTCCAACTATCGATACCAACAGTAATATCCATACCAAATTCCAGGATTTCAACTCTCCAATACAAGGATTACAGGATTTCAACCCAATAACAAATTTAGCACTATTTAGTGCTTTTCGTACAATTATAGCATACATTTCCAAAACCACCTTCATATCTTAATTTCAGATACCAAAAGAGATCTCAATATCAAATTTCGAGATTCTAGTTATATTCTTTCACCCAATACCCAATATAGTTCTATTTAGTACTTTTCGTATACATTTACAAAACCACCTTTTTATCACAATCTAACCACTAACAAGACTTCAATAAAAATTTACAAAATTCCAACTTCATCCGTACACCCTAAACCAAACTGTTCCCAATTTAGTACCATTTAGTACAGTTCGCACACTTAGTACACATTTCGAAACCCTCCTTTATGTATCAATCTTACTTTCCAACCTTGATTCATATACCAGATATCAATTTTGAATCCGCTCAAATAATACCAAATGGTACCATTCTAAAAACTTAGTAGCATTTTAGAACTTTTCGTAACCATGAAGTTTCCAAAGAGATTTGGTACATCCAACATACACTCCATCATTGACTATCATTCCATTCTAGTCATTTATTATTAGAATTCTAGCTCATTCCGTTTGTCCAACACAAAGTATTAAATTTGTAACACTTTTCATACCTTTTCTGTAGGAATTTCCAAAAACGCAGCCTTATCACAGGCCTACGTACCAATACTGTCTCTCGTGCAAAGTTGCAAGATTCAAACCGCAGCTCTTTCTTTTTTATACCCTCCACCACAGTTTGGAGGGTATATTAGGTTTGTCATTCCGTATGTAACATCTCGAAATTTAGAGACCCCACTAATATACATTCGTGTTCAGCATAAAATTCAATTTTGATCTCGCGATGTCTGTCCGTCTGCCCATCTATCCGTCTGTAGGAATCACTTCCGCTCCCGAACGAAATGAAGTTGGTATATAAAATATTACTCAGATGTGTGTTAGGCCTACAGGTTTTGGGCTATATAGGACCACGTTTTGGTATAGGTACCGTTATATGGAGGCTATACGAAGACGTAGACTCGCACAGACAATTTTCTGTCTTAGGCTGTACTATTCATTACGAACTTCAAATACTAAATTTGAAACACTTCCGGTGAATTATGTCGTTAAAATCATCAAAATACTGAATATCGGGAGGTATAATTATATGGGGCTATACCAAAACGTGGATCTATATGACCCATTTTCAATACCAAAAGTCCTGCAGACATAATACACATATTAGAACCACACAGACGGACGGACGGACATCGCTAAATCGACATAGAATTTTATGCTGGAGTCTAAAATATACGGGGTGAGATGAAAAAACTGCAACCAACTTCAGAATGCTGTCATTTCTAAGACTGCTGTCACTTCGTCCGACAGCTGTTGAAATTAATCCAGTGATAGTTCATTATATTGTTTATAAGCGTACAAAAGCATTTTGGTGAGAATTTTCCGCAAAAAAAAGTTATTCGTGATGGAATTCAAGCGTGATAGTGTGACTTCAGCCCCGGACGTCAAGGAAGTGGACGGAAGAAAACAGAACATCAGCAGAAATGGTTCGAAAAGTAAAGAAGCGACTTGATCGAAACCCGCGTCGCCGTAGCCGACAAATGGCTCGTGAGCTGAACATATCGCAATATTCCATTCGGAGGGTGTATTAAAGCCTTGGGTACGCAAACACTTTGACCGCAGACCTTGGACATTCCAACAAGACTCAGCACGCGCCACTCAAGAATGGTTACAAAATGAGGTTCTTCGCTTCATTTCCAGCGCAATGGGCACAAAAGTTTCGTCTGTAGTATTTTGGAAAGCAAGGTTGTCCATTTGATTGGAAAAAATCTAAACTTATTCTAAAATTTGATGCTATTTCCCACATTTTTTGCTTTCATTCAATAAAATTTAAAAAAAAATATAAAAATTATGCCGTTTGAATTTGTTGAAATTTTTTTATTTCACCCTGTTTATTTCGAGGTGTTACAAACGGAATTTCAAACTTAATATACCCTTCATTCAATGGTGGAGTGTATAATAATATTTTTCCAAACCAAATGTGAGCTGTTTCTGTCAAATTGTTCCCTAATAGTCTTAAAATTTAACATTTCTGAGAGGGCTCGATCCCCCTTATCTTTGAGTTTTATGGTACTCAGTATATATACACGGTGGGCAAACCAGCTTATACTTTCAAACTTATTATTCATGTATTTGGCCGTATTCAGCACATTATTAAGATATGGAAAAGCCTTTACTTTCAGCTATTGTAAAAATATGGAGGAAAACGGAAATTTCATCACTCATACCTCTATTCTATTTGCCTGCGGGACTGAATTTCCGGAAAATCTAATTAAAAATAAATATTTATTATGAAATCTCTACCAATAAAGTCAATATTAAATTCCAATACTCCTCTTGACAGTGACACTGATAATGGCGAAGACAGCCAGAAGCAATTAAACTCTTACTCGATTACATTTTAATGACGGAATTCAAAACGTGTCTGTCTCCGCTTTGTTTCGAAGTAATATCCTTGCAAAAAAAAAAAAACACAAACAAAAACAACATGATTGGAGGATAACATTAAGGATAATGAGGGGAAGGATGTCACTTTTGTCCATGGTCATTTCAAATACACCAAAAAAGGAAATTAATATTTCAAAACAAGAGTTTTCCTGTGAAAATTATTCCGTTTTCATTTTGCACTTTATTGGATGTCAATAACAAGTCATTATCGGGCAAAAAATTACTTCAACAAAAGAGGTGCGGGAGCTGCAACATAGGGAGCAGCGGCGGCAGCATAGTAAGGAGCAGATGCAACATAAGGTGCAGCTGCTACATAGGGAGCAGTATAGGCAGCAGGGAAGGCTGCCGAGTGGGCAATGGTATGGGCATTGTAGCTTGAGGCATAGGGAGCAACATAGGCAGCACTACCCACAACAGCGGCAGCAGGAGCTGTATAGGCCAAGGGGGCGGTGTAGGCGAGGGGAGCAACTACACCTGGTTTAGCAGCAGCTACAGCCAAGAGGGCGAAGAAGCACAAAGCAATCTGGAATATGAAAATAATCCAAACAAAAATGGAAGAGAGAGAGAGAGAGATAGAGAGAGGAAAAAGTTAATTAGTTAATCCTTCACCAACTAATATCCTTAACTACGTAATTATTCCTTTGATGTACTTACAAATTTGAACATGTTGATGTGATGTTGATTTTGTTGTTGAATTTGACTCAAGTTAAACGATAATTGTTAACTACTGTCTTACTTGTTGGAGCCTCCTCCATATTTATAGCCACCGCACAAACACCCCAAAGACAAAAGCTTGCCAAGCCAGCCATCCAGCCAGCTTGCATTTGACCATGGTTAATTGAGTTCATTTGACGCATTAAATGAGGCGATTTTCTTGGCTTACATTACTAAAGCCAAACGGCCAGCCAGCCAACCGACCGATCGACCAACTGACCAACAATAAGTCAAAGGCCATCATTATCATCATCATCAGCGACGGACATCAGTGCTGCTGTCAACACCCCCACACGACCACAATCGTTGTAATTAAAATTCCTCTCGTGTCCAATAATGAATGAATAAAATATGTTGGCCGGTATGTGTGTTCGGTGAATGTGTTTGTACACATGTGTTTGTGTTTATATGTTTGCCCAAGCCAACCGTTTAATGGTCACAGCCATAAGTAATCATTGATATTACCCACACCCACCCAACCATCTCCCGTCCACCCACTTCCCACAAATTGTCGTCGTTATTGAATTAATAAAAATTACCATTATTCGACTTGGCTCATAATTGTATTCAAATGTTAGTCTAAGGATGAGATAATATGTTTGTAATCAATTCGAATGGGAAGTAACCCTACAGCATGAAATGTGGATTTCCGACATTTATCATCCGGCATATGAGTCAGAGAAAGAATAATTTTGCCCATACTTATGTAAATAATAAAAGACTTACATTTCAGCTACATTCTTAAAAGTTTGTACATAGATATAATATCACCCTGGGTTCTTAGGCAAAAGAAGTAGTGATAACACTGTGATGACCAAAGGCGACATATCAACGGGATAATATACCGAAAACAAAAAGACTCATGTCTCTTACGTTTTTTCGCAAAAGTCATGAAATTTTTATTTTACGAATGTACAAAAAATTGGAACCTTCCCTTTTTATACCCTGCACCACGTAGTGGTAAGGGTATTATGTCTTTGTGCATTTGTTTGTAACATGAAAGAGGAAGCAAGATAGACCCATAGTTATTTTTGAGAATCTTCATAGAATCACTTTCTGAGTCGATTTATTCATGCCAGTCCATCTGTCCGTCCGTCCGTGTATTTTTGTGAACAAAATGCAGGTCGTATTTATTATCCGATTGAGATGAAATTTCACAATCAATCCTATTGAAATTGGTGAAATTGTTTACCAAATGGCCAATATCAGTCCAAACGATTTGAATTTTTGCACATCATCGATCGAACTTAGTCTAGAAGAAATTACATAAAATTTGGTGAAAATCGGTTCAGATATAGCTTCAGCTAGCACATATAGGGTGAGATAAAAAAAGCCGCAACAAAGTAGAACGCCATAATTTTTAATTTAATTTTATTGAATGAAAGCAAAAAATGTCGGAAATAGTATCAAATTTCAGAATATGTTTAAATTTGATTGAATTGGTCACCTTTAGCACGAATTATACACACGCTACCCGAATGTTGCTCTGTGGTATTTTGGCCCATTCCCGGCGAAGCGCTTGCTTGAGGTGATCGACAATTTGGTCTTTATTAGTGCCAGCCTTGCTTTCCAAAATACTCAAGACACAATAGTCCAACGGATTGGTATCCGGAGATTTTGGTGGTCATTGTGCGCTGGAAATGAAGCGAGGAATCTCATTTTGTAAAAGCTTTAATTCACCCTTCAGAATACTTTCGCGATAATATTCGCTATTTAATCTGATGGTACGGTCAATTAATACGAGCGGAAAGCGACCATCGGCTGTTATGGCGGCTTACACCATCACCATAGTCGACGCTTGAGTTCTGGTGGCCAACCGAAGGTGCACATTTTCAGCTGACCTCTTTGGCAAGTAAACACGATCATTTCGTTTGTTTACAAACTGCTGGATAACGAATGTTTTCTCATCGGAGAAAACCAACTTCGGCAGTTCACCACTTTCGCTCAAGCGAAGCAACTCTTTAGCTCTTTTGAGTCGAATGGAATATTTCGATATGTTCAGCTCACGAGCCATTTTTGGGACACCGCGACGCGGTTTTCGATAAAGTCGCTTCTTTAGTTTTCGAACCATTTCTGCTGATGTTGCTGTTTTCTTCCGTCCACTTCCTTAACGTTGGGCTACGCTACCAGTATCACGGCAACGAGCGATGGTACGAGACACAAAAGATTTGTTCACATTTAAATGCTAGAGTGCTCTTATAATAGCTACTTGTGGTTTTCCAGCCACATATAAAGAAATCGCACTATTACGCTTGAATTCCATCACGAATAACTTTTTTCTGGAAAATTCTCAACAAAATGCTTTTGAACGCTTGTAAACAATATAATTAGCTGTCACTGGAATAATTTTAAAAGCTGTCGGACGAGTGGCTTACCAATGAAAGCAGTCTGAATTTGGTTGCAGTTTTTTTCATTTTACCCTGTATATACGATTCTGATACTAAAAGGAAGGACTTAGTTTTGTTTAAAAATCTACAACTTTTGCCTAGGAAGTCCTGAATACTATTCTTGACAAAAATCCATGATTTCTGCTCATAAGTCATTATAGAATGTTATTATGAAATCTGCAAGATCTTGCGGCCAGGAGGTCCTAGTAAAAATATTTAAAAAAAATCAAAGATTTTTTTTTCCCAAAAAAAATATTCAAAAAAATCCTTGATTTTTGTCCATTCCTATACTTATTCGAAAAGAAAAAGTTTTTAATGTGATTATTCACCAATAGGGTTTTAAAACAAATAAAAGAGCTGTAAGTTCCGCCGGGCCGAACATGGAATACCCTCCACAATTTATAACGAGCTTGACAGTTTTCAAAAAAAAAAAAAAACAAAAAACAAAAAAAAAACAATAGCTAAAGTCATCAAAATAACGAATATCAGGAGGTACCGTTTTATGCGGACGTGGACATGCACAGCAGTTTTCTGTCTTAAATTGTAGTATCCATTACGAACTTCAAATACAAAATTTGAAACAATTCCGGTAAATAATTTAATTTAAATCACCAAAATACCGAAAATAGGGACGAACCCTTATATGGGGGTTATATTAAAACGTGGACCTACATGGCCCATTTTCAATACTAAAAGTTCTGCAGACATAAAGTACATTTTATTAAAATTTTATCAACCCACTTCATTTCGTTCGGAACCTAAAGTGATTTACACAAACGGACGCACATCGCTTAATCGACATAGAATTCTATGCTGATCAAGAATATACTGTATGGGGTCTAAAATAAACTTAAACTTAATACCTCCAAAACTTAATATACCCTTCATAGTATGGTGGATGGTATAAAAATATGTTTAAGGAATTAACTATTCTAGGCCGGGAAGTCCTTGAAAATATAAAAAGCTCTCTCTCCTTTTAAACTCACCAATAATGTGCTAATGTAAACTGTGGTCATCCAAACTTGAACCTATTGAAGGCCTATATAAGTAAGTAAGGCCATCTGACAACTAAGTTTGCTGCCAAATATATAATTATGATTTAAAATTTAAAGAAAGTCAAATCACAATAGCATAAACACTACGAAATTTATTGTCCAGCAGTTGTCAAAATAGTCTTCTTGTCCGACCTTAAAAGGCCTTGCCTAATAGCCCAAATTGAATTCCCATATACACAGTTGGTGTGTGTATATTTTAAATAGTCAATAAAACACATTCGGATTTTTAATTGTCTACTATCATCACAGGTTGGTTTTTATTCAAAATTCACATTCTCTGATTTACTTCTTCAACAAAAGGGGAGCGGCGAAGGGAGTGGCTACTGGGGCGGCAACAGCGGCAGGAGCTACAGCATAGGCGGCAGGGAAGGCAGCGGAGTGGGCAATGGTGTGGGCATTGTAGCTGGAAGCATAGGGGGCAACATAGGCAGCACTACCGACAACAGCAGCAGCTGGGGCGGTGTAGGCCAAAGGAGCGGAATAAGCCAAAGGAGCAGCAGAGTAGGCCACAGGAGCGGTATAAGCCAAGGGAGCTACTACACCGGGTTTAGCGGCAGCCACAGCCAAGAGGGCGAAGAAGCAAACAGCGATCTAAAAATTTGAAAGAAATAGTAGTTTAGTAAACTATAGCAAGGTATGACTGTAAAATCCTAACTTACGAATTTGAACATTTTGTTGGAGGTTTGTTGTGGTTTGTTTTGTTGACAATTTAAAATTGATACTGAATGCCAGAGTACGCCAGACTTTTATACCAAAAGCCTAAAATGTTTATTTTAAAATAAATATGCGTAACACATGTGCTTACTGATATATATGTATGTGTGTGTGTGTGTATTTGTCAAATTGACAAATTTCCATATGTACTTGGTCAATACCAAATTGTGCCGCCAACAGAAGGTTCTTCTTGCTTGTCTTTAAGGTAATTAACATTTATTGTGCAAGCCTATATTTTGGGGTTATGAAATAATGATTTAAAGATTAAAATCGTTGCTCATGGCCAACCTTCATCAAAATTTACTTTCAATTACACTGTGCAACAAAATAAAGTAGTTTTCTTCAGGATTTCAGAAAATTAATAATTCTCAGCAAAAGCGAAGGTAAAATAGAAAAAAAAATTATATTTGTCGATTGGAGGTTTCATTGGGATATGACCAAAATATATTAACGGCCAAGGATACTTAGAAAAGTCGAGTATCCACAATACTAATCAGGCAGTTAGCGATTAAAGAAACCGGCAAGGAAAAGTCAAAAGTCGGCCGCGGCAGACTATATAATATCCTACGCCACAATGCATATTTAGTATAGCTCCCGTAACACAAGAATTTATTTGAAGTAGATCAAACCACCTATCACCATTAAGCTTAAGAGCAGTTATAATTTGGTTTCAGAGGGAACTAATATATGGGAGGCATATCCAATTCTGAATCGATTTTATATCCCTTGACAAGGATTATGTTAAAAACAAATATCGGGCCCGAATTGGGAACTAAATCCAAATCTGAAGCGATTTTGATAAAATTTGGCAAAGTTATTTCCGAGATCCATAAGATATCTGGTACCAAATATCACTCTTATGGGGTGCATATTACGAATGTGAGGGATTTAAGACTCCAAATCGGATGAAACATATATGGGAGCTAAAGGTATATCTGAATTGATTTTCACCAAACATGATGTACTTACTCCTACACTAAATTCGGTCGGATATGCCAAAATTCAAGTCATTTGGACTGATATTGGCCATTTGGTGCATAATTAACCCGAAATCGGTTGAAGACATACAGGGTGAGATAAAAAACTGCAAAACGAAGAATTATGGCGTTTAATTTTTAATTTTTTTAATTTAAAAGTGTCGGAAATATCATCGAATCTTAGAAGTAGTTTAGATTTGTTCGAATTGGTCACCTCTGGCACGAATTATGGCCTTCAAATATCCAATGAAACCGTGACACGCTGCACGAATGTTGCTCTGCAGTATTTTGGCCCATTCCCTGCGAAGCGCTTGCTTGAAGTGATCGACACTTTGAAAATTCTGGAAATTAAGCGAGGAACCTCATTTTGGGTGGCGTGTACTGAGTGCGATGGTGCTGAGACCTGTTGGAATGTCCAAGGTCTGCGGCTAAAATATTTGCGTGCCCAAGGCTTTATTACACCCTCCATAATACGAGCGGAGAGCGACCATCGGCTGTTATGGTGGCCCACACCATCACCATGGCCGCCGCTTGTGAGTTCTGGTGACTAACCGAAGGTGCACATTTTCAGCTGACCTCTTTGGCAAGTAAACACGATCATTTTGTTTGTTTGCAAACTGCTGGACAACGAATGTTTTCTCATCGGAGACGGAGATAACCAAATTCGGCAGTTCACCACTTTCGGCCAAGCGAAGCAACTCTCTTCCTGCACTTTTTGGAATTTCAATGGCTTTACCCCGAGATCGTTTTTAAAATATTTGCCGAATAGAATATTGCGATATGTTCAGCTCACGAGCCATGTTTGGGTCACTGCGACGCGGGTTTCGATCAAGTCGCTTCTTTACTTTTCGAACCATTTCTGCTGACGTTGCTGTTTTCTTCCGTCCACTTCCTTGACGTCGGGTAAGAAGCGATGGTACGAGACACAAAAGATTTATTCACATTTAAATGCTGGAGTGCTCTAACGATAGCCACTTGTGGATTTCCAGCCAAATATAAAGAAATCACGCTATCAAGGCTTGAATTCCATCACGAATAACTTGTTTTCTGGAAAATTCCCACCAAAATACTTTTGCGCGTTTGTAAACAATATAATGAGCAGTCGCTGAAATAATTTAAACAGCTGTCGGACGAGTGGCTTAGAAATGACAACAGTCTGAAGTTGGTTGCAGTTTTTTCATCTCGCCCTGTGTATCTTCAATCGATGTCGCATTTATTGCACCAAAAATTGTAATATATGCTCAAGTTATACGCATTCAAAAATAAATTCCCCATAAATGTGCTTATTTGTTATATGAGCTCTTCTATATATGCAATGTGGTGTAGGATATCATAAAGTTGGTGCAGCCCTACTTTGGTCTTTCTTTACAGGTTTTTCACTAAATTATTTCAAAATTGAAATTTGGAATTCGCAATAGGAACCACCTTCTCTGCTAAAAAATTGTCAATACAGGTCAACGTTTTCGTCTAGCCCCCATATGACTATACCATCCGATATTCGATATTTTAATAATATCAGAGGCCATTCCAGATTTTTAGAATTGCAATTTCTTCCAAATGTTGGACTAACTTATCTGCTTTTTTACTTGTTTAAAGTCCTATCAAACGAAAATTAGAACACTAGCTTTGATATTTGGAATGATTTTCTAAATATTGTTTCCAGTCCAGCGGACATTGTACCTCTCATGAACCATCAGATTACAATTTATTTAAGGTTATTGTAATTATTAGCGGTACAAAACGGGAGTTTTTCTTATATTACCTATCCTGTATATTAAATAAGAAAAATTGTGGGGTAGTCCCAACAAAATATAGTCTCATGTTGATGATTTTTGGGAAAAAGATTTTACGTCAACAAAAACCTCTTCATAATTTTTTATCACATCAGGACCATCAGTCAATATAAAATGAAAATAAAATTTCGAAATTCCAAATATTTCGAAAACTAATATTTTGTTATACAGAGTAATTGAAAGTTAAAGGTAAATATTGTTATGCCTCACGTAATGCATTTAATTACCTTAAAGACCACTAAGAAGAACCTTATCTTAGCTGAGCATTTTTATGTTGCCTAACTACGTACATATGTAAATGTATAAACTTGACAAAACGAATGGTAAATATATGTGAGCACATGTGTTACGCATATTTATTGCTAAATGGACATTTAAAGCTTTTGGTATAAAAACCTACTACACGCTGTCATTCATTATCAATTTTCAATTGTCACCAAAACAAAACACAACAAACGCTAAACAAAATGTTCAAATTCGTAAGTTTGCTTTAAAAAAAAAAAATATGTCATACCTTGGGGCAGATAATTAAATGACTATTTTGTCCTGAATTTTTAGATCGCTGTTTGCTTCTTCGCCCTCTTGGCTGTGGCTGCCGCTAAACCCGGTGTAGTTGCTCCCTTGGCTTATACCGCTCCATTGGCCTACTCTGCTGCTCCTTTGGCTTATTCCGCTCCATTGGCCTACACCGCCCCAGCTGCCGCTGTTGTCGGTAGTGCTGCCTATGTTGCTCCCTATGCCTCCAGCTACAATGCCCACACCATTGCCCACTCTGCTGCCTTCCCTGCTGCCTATGCTGTTGCCCCTGCCGCCGCCGTTGCTGCTCCATTAGCCACTCCCTTCGCCGCTCCTCTTTTGTTGAAGAAGTAAATCAGAGAATGTGAATTTTGAATAAACACCAAACTGTGATGATAATAGACAATTAAAAAAAAAATATGTGTTTCAGTGATAATTTAGAATGTAGTTAGATACATATGGATTGTGGTAAAGAAAGACATATGTATTTCCCCAGTCTATGACCATATAAGAGGTATGGTTTGAAATGTTTGACAAACATTTTTTATACCCTACAACACTATGTGTTGGGGGTATTATAAGTTTGATTGGGCCAAAAATTATGTAACACCACGAAATATTGATTTCCCACATAGGAAAGTATATATGGATCTTCCTATCTCGCCGAGCTGAGTCGATCTAGCTATGTATGTCCGTCCGTCCGTCTGTCCATATTAATTTGTAATCACTCTACAGGTCGCAATTATGGTCCGATCTTCACGAAATTTAAAATGTAGGTGGGGCTAGGGTCAGAATAGAACCCTATTTCTTTTGGTGATGATCGCATAATATTTAGGGGTTGAAATGGACCAAAAACTGAAAAAAATCCTGATTTTGCACTTGCTCTACAGGCCGCAATTATAGACCAATCAACGCAGAATTTCGCATGTAGCTAGAGTTTAGGGCTGGCAAGAAGCCTACCCATTTGGGTGGTCATCGGATAATATTTAGCGGGTAAAATAGGCCATATCTTTTTTGTTGAAAAAATTCAAAATTTTTCATTAAACCGCGAATATTTTAAATCCCAGCGAAATCACAAAGCCATGACAAGGTTACTTCTGATCTTTACATTGATGTTAACATCAAACAAAACGGATATATAGCAAAATATGTGCGATATATATGTCTATCAAAGAAGATATGCTTGAAAAATCTCATATATGTCGAGAACGGCTGAGCTGATTTCGACAGTTCTCATTAATTCAGAATGGCATCTTGGCAGGAAACATAAAACGTCTAAAAAAATCGCATAAAAATATCTCTCTAAAGATGAAAATATTGATTTTGTAAAATTTTCTCATATTTTTTCCATTTTGTCATATTTTCATTTTGAATTAAACATTTGGTAATATTTCTACAGCTAACAAAATTAAGTAGTTAGGATATCAGGATATCATATACAGATCGCATTTATGGCCCGATCCTTACGAAATTTTGCATGGAGATAAGATGAGGGTCAGAATAAAAGCATATTCTTTTTGGAGATGATCGCCATATATTTAAGGGTTGAAATGGACCAAAAAACTGCAAAATTGTCAGCAGGTCGTAATTATGGGGGTTACCGGACATTGCAAAAGCCAAGCAGTTTTGGATGGCCATCCAAAAATATTCAATGTGTGAAGGAGTTTGCAAACTTTTATAGACAAAATACGAAAATGCCCATTCCAGTGACTTTTTGGAGAATTCACAAATACAGGAAAGACGCACTTCTGATTATTTCGTTAACGCTGATTTAGTTGAAGAATATAGTCAAATGGCTGTATCTCATATAGATGCGTTTTAGTCAAAAACCAATAATAAATGTTGATCTTTTGCCACTTCTTAGAGATTATAGGTTTTTGGGAAATATTGGTTCCAGATCTAGGAAGACCATCTACCAATAAATTGGAAATGAGCAAATTAGTTTAAGTTGCTATTATCCGAAAATTAGAGAACGAAACCTGATGGTTTTCTTTTATTATTTGTCACAATATCTTGTGGAATTCGTTCGAGTATCTCGCCTATATAAACTGTATGGTTTATTATAGTGTTGTAGGGTATTCAACGGTCGGCCCCGCTCGACTGTAGCCTTTGCTTACTTGTTTCTTAATTGTCGTTAGACTAACGATATTTATAAATTTTTTGGAAAATACTTAATCTTCACATATTCTAAAAATAACCGAATGTTTTTGGCAAAATCGCCAAGGTTCAGATTTTTGTCCAGAAATAAATAACAGGAACTCTGAATAAAATTGTTTTTGGCAAAACCACCAAGGTTCAGGATTTTTGTCCATAAATAACTTGGGCCATGTAGACCACAATCAGCAATTCTGACTATAAAACTTGTGGTTATTTAGGAATAAATTTATTTTGAAAATTTATTTTCGAAAATCCACGATTATTGGACAGAGCGTCCTTGAAAAATATTGCTTTAAAATCTTCGTTCTTTGGACAGTATGATCTTGAAAAAAATATTTAAGCCGTTGAAGATTTGTTGGTTTCTTATAAAAAATGGATACAGTTTTCAAAAAAAATACATATTTTTTAAAATCCACGATTTTTAATAACATCCAAGATTACTTGGGCAGGAATTTAATCAATTGACAATTTTGTCTTCCTGAATATCCTTGAAAACTGTTTTAAATTTTTGGTAAGGAAGTCGTTGTCAAATACTTTCAAAGACCCATAGGTTTTTTGAAAGGATGTCACTGAAAGATGTTATAATAAAATTAATAATAAAAATTTGGACCTCTTTTATACTTAAAACGATCCTGATTTTTCGATAAAATTGTCCTTAAAAGCACTTTTCAGAATCCGCGTTTTGACATAATGTCCTTAAATAAATATTTTTTTTTTAATTCATAATTTTTGGGAGAGGATATCCTTAATAATATTAACAAAATCCACAAACAAATTTAGGAAACCCACGATTTTTAAACAGGATGTGTTTAAAGAATTGAAAAATCGACGATTTCTGAACAATTACCAATACACGAATTTTAAAGTCGAGCGGGGCTGACTTTATGATAACCTACACCACGTTGCATATATAACCCATTTGGTGCACAATTAACTTGAAATCGGATAAAGGTCTATATGGGAGCTATATCCAAATCAGATCGGACCTCGATAAAATTTGGCAAAGGTATTTCCGAGCTCTATAAAATATCTGATACCAAATATCATTGTTGTCGAATGCATATTACGAATGTGAGGGATTTAAAGACCAAATCGGATGATATATATTTCATGGGAGCTAAATCGATATCTGAACCGTTTTTCAGACATTTTCATTTCATTTCATTTGACAGACTTATTCCAAGACCCAAATTATATAACATTTTACAGGTTTGGTGCACAATAAAAGGTAAATCGGACGAATATATATATATATATATATATATGGGATAATAAAATTGGTAAAGGTGTTTCTGAGCTGTATTTGATATATTTTCCCAAATATCGTTATTACAGATTGGATACTTCGTCTGTGCAGGACAAAAAAAAAAAAAAACAAATCGGATGAACAATATATATGGGACCTATAACTATATCTGAACCGATTTCGAACAAATTTGCATTATTATTTTAAGGCCTTATTTGGTCGTGTGCAAAATTCCATACTATATGAGCTGATATGACACGTTTGGTGCACAATAAAAAGAAAATCGGACGAAGATATCTATGGGAGATATATTTAAATTTCGATCGATTGTCTCCAATTTCAATAGGGGTCGTTCTAGGGTCAAACAAATGATTTGTGCAAAATTTCATCTGGATCGGGTAATAAATGCCATGCCTAAATCGACTCAGAATGTGATTCTATGCAGATCATCAAAATGAACTATGGGTCTATATCGTTTCCTTTTGCCTACTACAAACAAACATAATACCCTGACCATCCTGTGGTGTAGGGTATAAAAATGCACGATATGTATTGAAAATATATTGAAAAAAAAAACTATAAAATTCCAAATTTTACGACAGCACATTTTAAAATTTTATTACCCAGCACTTTTAAATAACATTGAAAATAATTAAAAAAAATCTACGATTTTTATACGGGAATGGAATCCACAATTTCGAATCGGAAGTCAATAATTATAATAAATAAAAAATTAAAAAAATATTTTTTTTTCTTAATCCACGATTTTTGACAGAATTTTTCTTTGAAAAATATTTTTCAAAAATCCGCAATTTTTTGACAGGGAGACTCCCTCAAAAATAATTAAAAAATGCACAATCCTTGGACAGAACTACCATCAACTAGTAAAAAGCAGCAAATTCGGTCGGGCCGAACTTGGAATACCCTCCACCATTTGGTATAAAAAAAATAAAATCCGTTAAAAATTCTGTTAAAATCTAAAAAAATCGACTATAGCGTAATATTGGGATCTATACGAAGATGTGGACCTTCATAGGCAACCTTTGTGATAAGACATTACAATATTTAAATACGAAACTTAGTGATGAATAATGTAGGTAAAATGATAAATTTCTGTCACACTCTTTAATACCTATTAGGAATTTCAAATATAAAAAAAATCAAAATAAAATTCGGTGTATTTTGTACCTAAAATCGTCAAAATGCCGAATATAGGGAGGTACTGATATATGGAGCCTATACGAAGACCTGGACCTGCATACGAAATTGTTTGTCATAGGCTGTAGTACCCATTACGAATTCTAAATACGAAATTGAAATCAACTCCGGTGAATAATGTTCCAAAAATCGTTAAAATATCGAATATCGGAGGGTACCGTTGTAGGTGGGCTATACGATATCGTTGACATATATGACATTTCTCTTCCAGGGGGGTAAAGTGCTTAGAAATAAATTCTGGTATGGATTTTTAGACAATTCCATTGAAAAATTTAGCTAAAATCATCAAAATGCCGAAAACGGGGGAAGTATTTTTATATGGGATATATACGATTTCGTGGACAAATTTTCCTATGTATATCATTTTCACAGTTGATATTTAATTGACAAAAATATGCAAATTCAAGAAAATTAGCTACTAATTTCACATAGGAATATTCAAAGAATCTAAACCTTGAACAGATCTAAATACGATTTATATGTAAAGTTTAAACCCGATCAAAACCAAAAGACAACAACAAATCAAATTTCGTTTCTAAATTTCCATTATCATCACAGATGTTTTTTATTCCAAATTAACATTCTCTGATTTACTTCTTCAACAAAAGGGGAGCGGCGAAGGGAGTGGCAACTGGAGCAGCAACGGCAGCGGGAGCTACAGCATAGGCGGCAGGGAAGGCAGCGGAATGGGCAATGGTGTGGGCATTATAGCTGGAGGCATAGGGGGCAACATAGGCAGCACTACCAACAACAGCGGCAGCTGGGGCGGTGTAGGCCAAAGGAGCGGAATAAGCCAAAGGAGCAGCAGAGTAGGCCAATGGAGCGGTGTAAGCCAAGGGAGCAACCACGCCGGGTTTAGCGGCAGCCACAGCCAAGAGGGCGAAGAAGCAAACAGCGATCTAAATATTGAAAATTATGAAACAATTATTTGTAGGTTTTGAATTATTATTGTTTTCTGGGTTTACTTACGAATTTGAACATTTTGTGGGAGGTTGGTTGCGATTGCTTTAGTTGACAATTAAAAATTGATAATAAATGATCAAAGTCTAAAGTCTTTTATACGAATACCGTCAAATGTTTCTTTTCCAATAAATATGCCAATCACACACACATACACTTCAAAAGGTTGACGTACTTTTCAGTTAAATGGTTGTATGTGTATTTGTGTTTATAGTAAACGTATGGTTTTGTATGTATGTAAAGTGTAGTAGCAGCTGGTGGCCCCAAAATGTCTTACAACTAAATGTGTAGTTATAAATTATTACCTAGATTCAGTTCCAATCTGTGGCAATAAAAATTAATTGCATTTTAGTTGGTTTCATTATTATTATAAAAAAAAAACATATTCCAATTCACTCTTGTTTATGACGATATCTGATTTTAATACGGTTTGAGTTTTGAGCCAAAAAGTTATTTCTTAATATGGGGTCCGATTAAGTGAATGATCGGCCGAAATGTTGATTCCCTCCACCTTATTAAATTTTAATTATGTTTAACTCAGATGCTTTAAAATTTAGTGTTCGTCCATATATTGGACCTATAGAAATACTTAATTGTACTCTGTTCAGTTGGAAAACATCTGGTTAGGACACTAAATAAACCTTAATTGGGTGCTACCGTTGCATATAGCCGAACTTTTAATACCATCCACTATTTGGAATGAATTTAAAAATTTTGAAAAAAATAAAATCCGTAAAAAATTCTGTTAAAATCTTAATAATACCTAATATGGAAAGTCGCCGTTATATTGGGGTCTATACGAAGACGTGGTCCTGCATAGGTAACATTTGTCATAACCCATTACAATATTTAACTACGAAACTTGAAAAAATCCAGTGAATATCATGAATATGCCGAATATAGGGAGGAACAGTTATATCGGGGCTACACGAGACCTGGACCTGCATAGACAATTTTCTGTCACAGGCTGGAACTAAAAAACCTGTAATTGGGCGCTACCGTTGCATAGAGAATACATTGCCAATTTATGCCACGATTTTTTTCTACGTATTAAGATTTCCAAATATCCAATATCAGGCATATCGGTTCGTAAATGTAACAAGGACCTTAAATATACCCAAGTGGAAGATATCTTCAAAAGACAAAGGAGGAGGTATGGTTATGTGGGGGTTATAGCAAATACAGAACTCATATGGCAATGTTTTATACCCTACACCACATAGTGGCAAGGGTATTATGTCTGTGTGCATTTGTTTGCAACATGGAGAAGGAAGCGAAATAGACTCATAGTTACTTTTGTGAATCTTCATAGAATCACTTTCTGAGTCGATTTATGCATATCAGTCCGTCTGTCCATGGATTTTTGTGAACAAAATGCAGGCCGTATTTATTATTCGATTCAGATGAAATTTTCCAAACAATTTTTGGCCCAAGGGACAACCCAATTGAAATTGGTGAGAATCGGTTCAAATGTAGATACAGCTCCCAAATATATCTTCATCACATCCGACCAAATTTGATCTAGTAGCAAGTACATCAGATACAGATAGCACTCATATATATGTTTCATCCAATTTGACGTTTAATTCTCTCACGTTTGCTCTACAAGAATGATATTTAGTACCAGATATAAGATACATCCCAAAAATACCTATGCCAAATTTTAATAAGATCGGTTTAAATTTAAATAAAGCTCCCATATATATCTTTATCCGATTTTAAGTTTTTTGTGCACCAAATGGTTAATATCAGTCCAAATGACTTGGTCGAACTTAACCTAGAAACAAGTACTTCAAATTTGGTGAAAATCGGTTCAGATATAGATTAGCTCCCATATATATGCTTCATCCGATTCGGGGGTTTAAGTTCCGCACATGCTCAGAATGCACTCCACAACAATAATCTTTGGTACTAGATATCACATACAGCTCAGAAATAAGTGTTTAAAATTATGTCAAGATCGGTTTAGATTTGGATGTAGCTCCCATATATATCTTCAATCGATTTCGGGTTAATTGTGCACCAAATGGCCAATATCAGCCCAAATGAACTCAATTTCGGCAATTCCGACTGATTTCATCGTAGAAATAAGTACTTCAAATTTGGTAAAAATCGGTTCAGGTACAGCTATAGATCCCATATATATGTTTCATCCGATTTAGTGTTAAAGTCCCGCACATGCGTAATATGCACTCCACAACAATGATATTTGATACACGGCACCAAATGCTGCTTGAAAATACTTCTGCCAATTTTTTTCTAGATCGGTTCAGATTTTTATATGGCTTCGATATACATCTTCATCCGATTTTTTGGTTATTGTTCACCATATATGTCATATCAGCCCAAATTGGATACATTATTTCATATTCAACCGAATTTTACGATTCGGTGAAACTCGGTCCGTTATATCTCTGGCTCTAATAAATATGTTTTAATATAATCCTTATCCTAAAAGTTTCAAAATACTAATCTGGATGTACAGTTGTAAATGTGGAACAATAAGTACCATTTTCCCATCTATCTCCGATTTCTATATAATATAATTTGAAATCTCATCTCACAACTCACTTTAAACAATAAAATATTTTTTTGATTCCAAAACTTTGACCTCAAAAACATAACCTTCTCTTCGCGTAGGCAGTATTTGTCTTTAACTCTAAAGTAACTCATAGCTATATTTACATATATTTGTTAAGCATTTTGAAAATGTGTACCGCATACTTATTGGCCTGCACAACACTTTAACACGTTTAGTATAAAAGACTTGCGTACTCTGGCATTCAGTATCAATTTTAAATTGTCACAAAAACAAACCACAACAAACCTCCAACAAAATGTTCAAATTTGTAAGTTTCCTTAAAAAAACGAAAAATTGGAATAGATTTTTTATGTGAATTCTTCATACAATTCCAGATCGCTGTTTGCTTCTTCGCCCTCTTGGCTGTGGCTGCCGCTAAACCCGGTGTAGTTGCTCCATTGGCTTATACCGCTCCTCTAGCTTACTCTGCTGCTCCTTTGGCCTATTCCGCTCCATTGGCCTACACCGCCCCAGCTGCCGCTGTTGTCGGTAGTGCTGCCTATGTTGCTCCCTATGCCTCCAGCTACAACGCCCATACCGTTGCCCACTCTGCTGCCTTCCCTGCCGCTTATGCTGTTGCTCCTGCTGCCGTTGCTGCTCCAGTTGCCACTCCCTTCGCTGCTCCTCTTTTGTTGAAGAAGTAAATCAGAGAATGTGAATTTTGAATAAAACCAAACTATGATGACAATGGAAAATTAACAAAATGTGTTGAGTTTTAATTCTTGTATTTTCTATCTAAGCTCTATTACATATTTGAATTTGTCTCTATTAGATCATTTAGAGCTAAAATGGATGTATGGGGAACCACTCTTTGACGATACTGAATGACATAATAATATGTTTCAAGATATTTTATAGTTTACACAGCAAAGTATGTGAATTTTCCGATTAAGTTTTCATGAAAGCTTCTTTTTAACGGGATCGGAGCAAGCAAAAATATTAAAAAAAAAAAGTAATGAATGGCTATAGTCGTGCGGAGCCGACCATGTGATAGCCTACAACACTACAATAAGTTAGAAGCCCCTTTATGTCCAAGTCCATTTTGAAAGATTTCGTTTTTGAAATAATCTCATTTTGAAAAAGTACAATTCAAAATTGTAAGTCAAATTGAAAATATCGCATGCGATAAAAAAATATGACAATAATTGAAAAAATGGAACAATAAATTTTAACTTTTTTGTTGGCAGATTTCTACGCGATTTTCTTAGATTTTTCCCTTTTCTGGCAAGAGTCCATTGCAAATTAGTGAAAATTGTCAAAATCCGTCCAGCGGTTCTTGACTTATAAGCGGAATAACTAACATCAATTTCATTTACATATATATTGTTCCTTTTTCGCTACATATCCGATATGTTGGCTATCAGCATCACTGTAATGGTCAGTAGTGACCTTCTAATATATTTGTGATTTGGCCGGGATTAAAAATATTCGCGTTTTGTGAAAATTTTCGAATTTTTTCACATGAGTTATTTTACCCGTTAAATATTGTCCGATGACCTCCAAATTGGTAGGCTTCTGCCCAGCCCTAAACTCTAACTCCATCCAAAAGTTCGCGTTGATTGGTTTATAAATGCGCCCTGTAGAGCAACTGCAATATGTGGAAAATTTTCAATTTTTTTTTTGGTCCATTTCAACCCCTTAATATTTTACGATCATCTCCAAAAACAATAGGCTTCTGTTCTGGCCCTATCCCCACCTCCGTTCTCCATTTCGTGAAAATCGGGCCATAATTGCGACCTGTTCCTTGATTACAAATTAGCATGGCAGACGGACATACAGGGTTGTCCATATTGGACGGACCCATCTGGCAACGCCATAACTTTTGACAGAGATGTCACATCGCTTAATGACATACCGCGTTTAAAGCGTCAGTCCAAGCAGATTTTTACCATGAACCAATACACGCCACGCGAAATAGTTGAAATTTACATTCAACAGAAGAAGTCAATTGTGAAAACTCAACGTGCTTTTAAAACATTAAAAAATGTGAGAAGTGCGTCTTCTAAGAACACCATTAAGCGTTTATACGAAAAATTTTCGACTGGTAAGGCTTTTTCTAATCCGAAGAGGCCACATGAGGTCCACAAGAACATCCCAAAAACGCCGTTCTCAGCAGTTGGGCATGGCTCGGTCCATTTTACAACGGATTGATTTACATTTGTTCCCGTACAAAATTCAATTGACGCAAAGAATGTTGCCTGCGGACAAGCCTCGTCGATTGGAATGGGCCCAAAGAGTCATGGGTCCGTCGAATATGGGCAATCCTGTACATAGGTAGATCGATTCAGCTCGGCAAGATAGAAAGATCCACATATACTTTCCTATGTGGGAAACCAATATTTCGAGGTATTACATAATTTTTGGCCAAATCAAAGTTATAATACCCCCAACACATAGTGTTGTAGGGTATAAAAATATTTGTCATAAAATTCCACTGTAGGTCCCACAATACATCAATAGTGTAAATCTTACCTTTACCCCTGTACTTCATATGTGTTTATGTAAAATTCTCCAACAGAGCATCATTTTAGAAGAATGACGTCAAAGACAAAAATATTCGTTATCAAATTTCATCATAAGCCACAAAGGAAAAGAAATATCTATGTCCATTATATATGAGAAAAATGTTTGCATCTATATCGACAAAAACCCGAACATTTTCTCTCATTTTTCATCAAATTTTCTTTGGACTTTTTACGAGTTGACGCCTGAAAATAACATAAAATATCGTTTTAGGCACAAAGTGTTAAAAGAAGAAATATTCTACATAAAATTGCACTATAAATCTCAAAATAAACCATATAGCTAGGTACAATAGTTTTTATGAAAATTTCATTCAAAATTTATGAACTAAAAGTGAAAATTATGTGTTAGACTTTTTGCTTTTAATTTAACACGTATCCAATGCGGCTCAATATCTTCATTTGTACTTCATTTTTGGGGAAAGTGTCAAAGGAGGAATTATTTTGGATCAAACCTTATTTTGAGTCTCTGAGCAAAAGAAATTTGGGTACTTTATATGTACCTTGAATAAATAGTATAGAAATAGTATAGAAATCTTCTGAAATACCAAATTTGAAACAATTATGTGGGTAAAGGTAACTAGGACTATCAAAATACCGAATATCGGTGTGTATCTTTATATGTGCGCTATAGGAAAACGTAGAACTAAATATTCAATGTCCTGCCAAAGGCCTAGACCCATTATGACCTACAAATACCAATTTTTAGACAAATCCGTGAAAAAATGTGGCAATAATCATCAAAATACCGAATATCGAGAGGTACCGTTATATGGGGACTATACTAAAACGTGGACCGATATTTTCAATACCAATCATCCTAGACAATATTCATATTGTTCTGCTAAATTTTGACGCTCTACGTCAAATAATGTGGGCTGTAACGTGATTTTAACGGACCATTTGGACGGATTTGGAAATTTTCAAAAAAAAAAAAAAAAAATAAAATTAGTTAAAAATCCCTATAAAATCTTAAAAATACCGAATATAGGAAGCCGCCGTTATACTGGGGTCTATACGAATTCCTGGGCCTGCATAGACAATTTTCTGTCATAGACTGTAGTTCCCATTACGAACTCTAAATACGAAATGTGAAACAACCCCGAAAACAATAAAGAAACAAAATGTCGGTAATATCATCAAAACACCGAATTTTGGGAGGTACCGTTGTATGTGGGCGATATCGTGGACCTAAATGGACATTTCTCTTCTAGGGGGTAAAGTGCTTAGAAAGAACTTCTAGTATGGATTTTTAGACAATCCCATTGAAAAATGTGTGTAAAATCATCCAAATAACGAATATATGGAGGTACAGTTGTGTGGGGGATATACGATATCGTATAATATAGACAATACTCTTCCAGGGGGTAAAGTACTCAGAAGGAACTCCTTTTGTAGATTTTCGGAAAATTTAGTTGAAAAATTTGGCTACAATCATCAAAATACCGAATATCGTGGGTGCCGTTATATGGGGACTATACGATATCATGGACCGATAAAGCCCATCTTCGAACTCGACCTGCCTGCAGACAAAAGACAGATCTGTGCAATATTTTAGCTTCCTGTCTTAATTAGTTTTGACTGTAGCGTGAATTTTATGCTGATCAAGAAATATGTACTTTGGTATGTCTAAAATTATAATTTCAATGAGTTACAAATGGAATGACTAACCTAATATATCCTTCATGCTATGTGTGGTAGAGGGTATAAAAATGTGGAAGGGATATGAACTTGGCCCCTATATTTAGATAACCTTGTGATGTAAACTTTCAATTCGCGGATACACATGTCTTCTATTCTTAGCTCTACCTTTATAATATACTGGAGGTATTTCTTTTTGACGCACAGTGTTATATAGAATATATTAAAATTATAATAAATGAATTAATTGCAGTATCGGTAAGGCGTGGTCCATCACCGATCAATTCTAGCAATAAATGATCGAATAAAGGCCAATATAAATATCATACTAAGCTAATATCAAAAATCCAAGAATTAAAGCAAAATACGCTATTTTAATTATCCAAAGTCATCACAGTTTGGCTTTTATTCAAAATTCACATTCTCTGATTTACTTCTTCAACAAAAGGGGAGCGGCGAAGGGAGTGGCTACTGGGGCAGCAACGGCGGCAGGAGCAACAGCATAGGCGGCAGGGAAGGCAGCAGAGTGGGCAACGGTGTGGGCGTTGTAGGTGGAGGCATAGGGGGCAACATAGGCAGCACTACCGACAACAGCGGCAGCTGGGGCGGTGTAGGCCAATGGGGTGGAGTAGGCCAAAGGAGCAGAGTAAGCCAAAGGAGCGGTATAAGCCAAGGGAGCAACTACACCGGGTTTAGCGGCAGCCACAGCCAAGAGGGCGAAGAAGCAAACAGCGATCTGGAATTATATGAATAATCACATTAGAAATCTGTTCTAAAATTTTGCAATTATTTTTACAGCAAACTTACGAATTTGAACATTTTGTTGGAGGTTTGTTGTGATTGGTTTTAGTGACAATTTAAAATTGATACTGAATGCCACAGTACGTAAGTCTTTTATACTTAACGCTTTAAGAGTTTTGCTGGCCAATAAGTATGCGGTACACATTTTCAAAATGCTTGACAAATATGTGTAAATGCCGTTCGTACCAATGAGTTACTTTAGAGTTAACGACAAATGCAGCCTACGCGAAGAGAAGGTTTATTTTAGAAGGTCATTTTTTGGAAGTTACATTAAATATTTAACTGTCTTGATAGAAGTTGATGGATACGTTGAAATGTTGAGGTTATCTTTTCCACGATAACATTGCGAAGAATTTACTCAATATTCTTTTACAAATATATGAATTGAATTAATTGGGAATAAAAATATGATCGAATTTGTTACATACTAGGCCGTTTTAACCTTTTTTTGTGTATCTGAAATTCCCAAGGCATATAAAGGCGGCGCAAAAGTAATCTTCCTATCAGAAATGCTATAAATTTTTGGATTGGCCCCTATGTTCCTAATTACAACTAGAAAACATCGGAATGTCTGTCAAGTACATATGCATGTACAAGTTAGCGCAAATGTAAACTTCCGATATTATTTTGGCTGTAACTAGGACATTAGGGGCCAATCGTAAAATTTATAGCATTTTCTGATAGGAGGATTACTTTTGCACCACATTGTACCACCAGACGTATCTTTGAAACTCACTTTCCAGTTTAGAGACCTATTATCATTCAATTGAATTGCACTTGCAATGCGGTTTGTCGGTAAATATATGCCCTCAACATATGTATATGGGGTGGTACGAAAAGAGGGTTTCAATACCGTCCATGTGTGTAACTGAATTAAATAACTGAATTTTATAAATATCATCATGTTTAAATTTTGAAATTTTGTTGAAGAAGTATAAAAGAGAGATAGAGATAGAGAGAGAGAGAGAGAGAGAGAGAGAGAGAGAGAGTGGACATGTATATTCAATTTCCATACTAATCTAATACTGACAAAAATCTTGAGATGTCAAAAAATTGAGATATTTGGACCCTGATTTAATCTCCCACATTTCAATTGTTTGTAGGGTATGTACAAGTTTATCTATATTATCTATTATCGAACATATGACCCGATTCTGATATAAGTAATAATTAATAATAAAATTTTCACTATATCGGGTATTTACTTCGTCTTAAAGTTAAGACCTTTGTTATACCCTAGTGGTAAGGGTATAATGTCTTTGTGCATTTGTTTGTAACATGGAGAAGGAAACGAGATAGACCCATAGTTCCTTTTGGTGATCAGCATAGAATCACATTTTAAGTCGATTTATGCATGTCTGTCTGTCCGTCTGTCCATGTATTTTTGTAAACAAAATGCAGGTCGCATTTATTATTCAATTGAGATGAAATTTTGCACAAGTCATTTGTTTGGCCCAAGGACGAACCCTATTGAAACTTGAGGTAATCGGTAAAAATTTTAATATAGCTCCCATATATATATATATATTCGTTCGATTTGCTTTTTTGGTGCACCAAGCGTGTAGTATCAGCCCAAATAGTATGACATTTTGCACATACAATCAAATTAGGCCTGAAAAAAAGTATGCCAAATTTGATCGGAATCGGTTCAGATATAGTTATAGCTCCCTTATATGTTGTTCAACCGATTTGTTATTTTTGTCCTCCGCAGCCGTAATATGCACTCTGTAACAACAATATTTGGGGAAATATATCAAATATAGCTCAGAAATAATTTTGCTAAATTTTATCGAGATCGGTTCAGATTTGGATATGGCTCTCATATATAACTTCGTCCGATTTGCCTTTTATTGTGCACTAAACGTGTAATGTTATACTAAATGGGATGGAATTTAGCACTTACGACCGAATTTAGTCTAGAAGCTTTTCAAGTTAATTGTGCACCAAATGGACAATACAAGCCCCATTGAAAAGATATAAATTCTTCGGCAAATTAAGTCCTATTAGTATAAGTTTGCCAGAAATACCACAATGTGAAAAACTTGGACTAAAGAAGGGATTATTGTGGAAAAATATCGACGGACTTTGCGAATTCAAATAATTACATCAGCTGTAGTTCGAGCGGAGCACCCGATGTAATTAAAATTTTGAACATCGTTATATTTACATGAGATTAAAGTCGAGTACAAATGGGGGCAACATTGGTCCAGTCCTTCAGGGGATGAAAGTATTTAACCATGACAACCCTTATAGTATTTGATATCGATACACGATTTTCTTCAAATATCACTATCATGTGCCCGTTAGACTTTAAAATTTTAGATTCGCTCCAACAGTTCCAACAGTATGTTAGGCCTTTTTATACCCTCCACCATATCTAGTATGGAGGATATATAAAGTTCATCATTCCCATTGTAACTCATCGAAATAATAATTTTAGACTTAACATTTTTCAATTGAATTATCTAAAAATCCATACTAGAAGTTCTTTCTAGGTACTTTACTCCCTGGAAGAGAAATGTTTATATAGGTCAACGATATCGTACATTCCACATACAACCGTAAAAATTATGTTAAAATATTTATTGGAACAATAGATAACGGACCGAGTTTCACCAAATGGTAAAATTTGGTTGAATATGAAAAATGTATTCAATTTGAGGTGATATTACATATATGCTGAACAATAACCGTAAAATCGGATGAAGATGTATATCGAAGCTATTTAAAAATCTGGACCGATCTCGATAGAATTTGGCAGAGGTATTTTCGAGCTGTATCACATGCTCTGTACCAAATATCATGTGGAGTGCATATTACGCATATGACTTCAAGCCAAATCGAATGAAAACGAAGGAAGTGCCAAAATTTAGCCCATTTGTGCTGATATTGGCCATTTAGTGCACAAAGAACCTGTAATCGGATAAATATATATATGGGAGCTATATCCAAATCTGAACCGATATTGACAAAATTTTAAACCCCTATTATGGCCTTCATTTTATTATGGTCACACTCGGCCCAAATGTTGCTCTGTGGTATTTTGGTTCATTCCCGACGAAGCGCTTCCTTGAGATGATCGACACTTTGGCCAAACTTGCTTTCCAAAATACTGCAGACACAATAGTCTAACGGATTGGTATCCGGAGATTTTGGAGGGCATTGTGCGCTGGAAATGAAGCGAGGAACCTCATTTTTGTAACCATTCTTTGGTGGCGCGTGCTGAGAGCGATGGTGCAGATTCCTGTTGGAATGTACAAGGTCTGCAGCCAAAATGTTTGCGTGCCCAAGACTTTAATACACTCTCCAGAATATTTTCGCGATAATATTCTGCATTGATTCTGATGCCAGGGTCGATTAATACGGGCGGAGAACGACCATCGGCTGTTATGGCAGCCCACACCCTCACAATGGCCGGCGCTTGAGTTCTGGTGGCGAACCGAAGGTGGACATTTTCAGCTGACCTCTTTGGCAAGTAAACACGATCATTTTGTTTGTTTACAAACTGCTGGACAACAAATGTTTTCTTATCGGAGATACCAAATTTAGCAGTTCACCACTTTCGGCCAAGCGAAGCAACTCTTTAGCTCTTTTGAGTCTTTTTGCTTTCTGGTGCGGTGTAAGTTCTTGCACTTTTTGGAATTTCAATGGCTTTACCCCGAGCTCATTTTTCAATATTTGCCGAATGGAATATTTGATATGTTCAGCTCACGAGCCATTTTTCGGCCACAGCGACGAAGGTTTTGATCAAGTCGCTTCTTTACTTTTCGAACCATTTCTGCTGGTGTTGCTATTTTCTTCCCTCCACTTCCTTGACGTTTGACTACGCCCCCAGAATCACGGTAACGAGCGATGGTACGAGACACAAAAGATTTATTTATTTATTTATTTACATTTAAATGCTGAAGTGCTCAAACGATAGCCACTTGTGGGTTTCCATCCAAATATAAAGAAATCACACTATCACGCTTGCATTCCATCACGAATTTCTTTTTTTCTGGAAAATTCTCACCAATATGCTTTTGTACGCTTGTAAACAATACAATGAGCTGTCACTGAAATAATGTTAACCGCTGTCGAACGGGTGGCTTAGAAATGACAGAAATCTGAATTTGGTTGCAGTTTTTTTATCTCACAGTGTATGGGAGATATAGCTATGTCTGATCTGATTTTGATGTAGTTGCTTCTAGATAGAATTCGGTAGGACGTGCCAGAATTGAGAACACTTGGAGTGATATTGGCCATTTGGTGGACAATTAAACCGAAATCGGTTTTACATATATATGGGAGTTATATCAAAATTTCCACCCATGCTTACCAATTTCAATAGGGTTCGTCCTTGGGCCTAAAAAATATAATTTGAAAAATATCATCTCAATCGGATAATAAATGCGACCTGTAATTTGTTCACAAAAAATATATGGACATACGGACTGGCACGCATAAATCGACTCAGAAAGTTATTCTATGTAGATCCTCAAAAGTAACTATGGGTCTATCTCGCTTCCTTTTCCATGTTACAAACAAACACACATATGCATAATACCCTTACCTCTATGTGGTGTAGGGTATAAAAACTTCAATTCTGCAATTTTTCGAAAATTTTTCGCAAAACATCTTTAGTTTTTCGAAATTAAAAAAATTTCAATTCTGTAATTTTTTTCTAAAACATTGTTTTATCCAATATCAGGCAGACCCTGACTCGAAGATAACATGATAAACAAAATTACCATTTTAATCTGCATTTTACCTTTTGTTCCTGATTAACAACTCACAGCGTCACATACACCCAGTCACATACATGCCTTGGTATTTCACTTTCAAATTTTGGAATACTCCAACTGACATTGAAGTTCTTTGTACACACACACAAACATATTCTTCAAGATCACTTCTTCAAGAACATATCGGCAATTGGTATTTTTAGGTTTTTGTCTTTGAATTTTTACAAAAATACCAGAAGCATTTTAAATGTTGTTGTAGCTGTTGAGGAGTTATGGACAACAAACATTACCCCCACCGCACGCATCTGGAATAACAAATGAGACACTACCGCTGCT